TACGAATTACCAAACACCTAGCTGCTTCACTTCACAGCTGTTTATTCTCACAGCACAGCAGAAGCAGTTTTTTTAAAAAGCGCAGCAATACCAAACTAAGCCTAAGAGTCCTAAAAAAAAGCAGCCCAAGTTGATTACTCTAAAATCTCCCTTTCCCCCTGACCCTGAAATTAGATATCATGAAGATGAGAGAGAGGGAGAGAGATCAAAGAATATTCTAGTATTTGACATTCAGGTCCACTTTGCATCATTACCTCATTATTTTTATTACTAAATTTGAAATAATACTACTCATATTACACATCAAAAATAAACTTGGGAACAGGAAAATGCCAAACTATGATATACACTAGTGTATCTCTGATATTATTTAAATTATTAATACTTCAAGGCAAATTTCCTTAAGCATACATACCACAGTTACAATATTTCCAGTTTCAAGGATAATTGAAGCTGAGAAAAAGTGAATCCCGCCTTGAGAAGCTGAAAAGTACCAAATGTTACTTCAAAACCACAGCAGCATTTCTGAGAGCCAGATATCTTTGGACATATTCATTGGGGAGAGATCTTATGAGCTTGAAGATATCAGCATTGGCATAGCGGAGGCCGGTCCTTGGATCATAGTAAGGTGCCTGCATGGTGCACAGAAGCAGATCATTCATCATTCTCCACTGAATAGATAACGAAATTGGTAATATGAATAGAAAAGCTTTGGACATTTTAATATTCAATATATTAGTTAACATCAATAGGAATGTGTCATAGAAATTCTCCTTGGAACCTTTGATCAGATCACTAACTATACAGCGAGGAAACATAACAGGCAACATATGAATGTCTGGCTGGAGCTCAACTCAGCCAAGTTTCATCTATTACTAAAAGGCTGTGCACAAGTACAGGAGGTATCCGTATCTTCACAAAAATTTCACAATACCTCGTATCCTGTTATATCACAAATTCTCTTGCATGGATGCATAGAGGGCGGCAACTCTATATTAACATCTGCAAGCATGGGACATTTGAAAAAAAAAGAAAAATGAGAACACTTGCCATTAGTATGCTTAAAATACTAAGCTAAAATAAATATGGTTTCTATACAAACTAGAAAATTTCTTATGCGCTATTAAAGCCATACTAACGGTCACAGTTAATTCAAAATAGCAAAGAGGGATACCATCTTGAGCACTAGATTTTCAGTTTGAATAACAACTAATGTAAGGGGGTAAAAGTGAAAGCTTGAAGTTAACTATATAAGTATTACTTACAATTGGGTTCATTGGGTGGGTAATTCTGGTAATTCTCGGCCTGAATGATCTGCTTGAGGTGTTTCCAGTGTCTCCCTCTTGATTGGCCTTTTGGGTACTTCTCGTACATCTGAATCCGCTTGAAGCTCAAGTGGGTTGGCAACACCAGCTCTGCATGAACCACCTCGGGCTCCATATTTGTACTTGTAAAATCTCTATGCCAAAATTGATAAAGAGCAAAATTATTTCCTGACCCCAAAGTTACAGAACCACGTCCACTCCAATCAACAGTGGGGCTGAGTTGGATCGATCAACTCCCTGAGTTAACTCGTCAAAGTTAACCAAGCCAACACTCAAAATTAAAGATCTGGAATGTTGTCTTCTTCTTGTTTGTTAACAAATAATAAATATCTTTTTGGATGATATACTGTATAAGACCATAGTTTATTCGCTAAAATTGTCAATTGAAGCCTTTCAGGTTTGAAGAGCAAAGGCAGATAAACATAATTCATTAACTCTATTTTTTATAGTCAGTATTGGGGATTTGAAGAAAGTCCCCCCCTAATTCAGCTTGTGTAAGATCCACTACGTTTTTTATGCATTCGTTGATTCTTTCCTTTTACACTGATGGTATAGCCTTGAGATATAAGAAACAGAACATTGAGAAATAGTAACATACATCTTGGAAAGAGTATACAAAACCCACACTCAAAATAAATAAATAAATAGATAATTAGTGTTGGAATAACAGTAGTATTAAAACCATACCAATAAAGAGAGTTTTTTTGGTAAAAAGACCCACAAAACAGAAAAACTAAACCTGCATCTCATGCATACACAGAAATGAGAGAAAGTAAAATGATCGTAAGGGATAAAATGACAAGATCATCTGGTAAGACAAAGAAATCCAAGGTTAAGGGTTACTGGCTAAGATTAACAAAAGGAAACCTCCATGTTTGCAACTATTGGTTTCGGATTTGCAGCAACAAAGAACCAGAGTATAAAGTCAAACAAAACAAACAAAAAGGAAAATTCGAATATGATTTAATTTACTTGGAATCCTTGCAGGTTGAAACCTTAAACAAGAATTGCAAGCAGAAAATCCTGTCGACGCTAGGCATGGCATACAAAGCTCAACCATACATACCATAAACAATAATCTCAACCAATCATATCATAACAAAACAGCAGTGTGCTCTTATCCTTTATCAACTTTTGGTTTGATTAAAAACATGCATGTACAAATATCAATACAATTGGAATAAGCAGTAGGGATTACACTCTCCAGTATACAGATATGCAATTAGAAAGTAAATAGAATTATAAACTCAACTAATACAGGCTTGATAATAAAACTTCTGCCAAAGAGAGAACAAAAAAAACTATAATAGCAATATCCATTCACTAAAACTCTGCTACAATGAAAATCTACTCTTTACCTAGGTTCTCATACCTATAATATCCAACTAAAACTGCCCCAACCCAATTCATGAAATCTCAAATACTTTGGTCCCAACAAACTTAGGAATCCATGAAAGCATCAAGATACAACGGTAGAATAAAAAAGGAAGAAATATACTTTTTTCAATTAAAAATCTAGGACCCGTTTTGTATACCTGCGGTGCGATGCTGCAATGAATTTGCTTTGGTTCAGAATCAGAACCCAATTTTGAACCAGCGTGAGGTGGCCGGAAACGTCGACGGCGACGGTGGCAGCGGCTGCCGAAACTTCCCGTCGTTCCAGCAGCCAATCCTTGAGTTTTTGAGCTGTGAAAATGACTAGGCTAGAAAGAGGACGTCGAGAGGAAGATTTTGGGACCGGTCTCGCCTGAAACGGTGGCCGGAGTTGGGAGAAATCGCCGGCCAAAGTGCGCGAAGAGAGAGAATCGCGAGAGGAGAGAAAAATACAAGGATAGAATCTGATAAGGTATTTAAATTTGGGAAATAGCTCAAAATGCCACCCTTTTTATAATTTTAACTGAAAATACCACCCCTCCCCTAAAATTTTAAAACTATCACCTATAAATATAGGGAGCTGATTTTCCCACTCCCTTTTTCTCAACTTACACTCCCTTTTGTTTTTTAATACTTTTTAATTAATTTTGCTCTTTTTTGTTCTTCCTCTTTCCTATTTTATCCTTGATGACGTGGCAAGTGAGCACTTTGGAGAGATGCTGATGTGTGAAAAATAATAATAAAGAATTCCTTAAAAAGAATTTTTTTAAACCGAAAAAAATATATCCCAAACCCACCCACCCTCTGGTTATCTTCTCTCCTACACACCCACCCTTCCGTCTTCTCTCTCCCCATCTCTGTTTCCCCTCTTTCTTCGACCAAAAAAACCAAGCCCAGCAAATCAACTGTTTATTGCCCTGTGATTCGTGAAGGTCTAAACAGCCAACACAGAAGCTCCAATGGCAAAGGCTCGAAGGACCTTTTTTATTTCCTTCCTCAATTTTTGTTAGCTTCTCCTCCAGAAACATAACCAAAATCCAATAACATCAATCATCTATATACTGGTAGCTATAGCTAAGATCTTTATACCTTTTCTATCCCTCTCTTTCTCTGTTTCTCTCTTTCCCCCTCTTTCTTCAACCACCAAATCCAGATCCGGGGTTTTTTTAAAAAGAGTTTTGGGGTTTGAGTGTGGCTTGGCTATCGGGCGTTTGGGGCTGTAAGGTCGTTTGTGGTTATGGGTGCGTTGGGGCAGCGATGGCTATCGGTGGGTGGGTGGCTGTGTGGGGTTGGGTTGAGATGGGAGGAGGAGTAGGGGGTTGACGAAGAGAGGGGGAGAGAGAGGGGGCTGTTGCTGGGGAAAATATTTTGTTTGTTTTTAAAATAATAATTTTAAAGAACTCATCCATCCGTTGAAAATGGGGTGTAAGTAAATTAAGTTTTAAAAGATAATAATAATATAAAAGTGAAGTAAAAATAAATTAATGTAGGTAAGGGTATAATAGGAATGAGAAAAAACTAAAAAAAACAAAATTGATTAAAAAATATTTTAAAATAAAAGGGAGTGTAAGTGGAGAAAATGGGAGTGGGAAAATCAGCTCCCTAAATATATTTTTATTGTTTACTAATTGCACACATATCACTTTTGCAGAAATTTTGTTTTCTCTCTATCGCCCCTCTCACTCTCTCTATTGCGCAACTCTCTCTATCCTCGTTGCTCAGGTCTCACTCTCTCTTCGGTCAGCTCTCACTCTCTTTTCTCTCTTTCACCATTGTGGGAAGCTCTAGGCCTCTCTTGCGCAGCTCTCTCTCGTGTAGCTCTCTCTCTCTCTCTCTCTCTGTGACGCAGTGGTCTTCCTCTTCCATCATTCACCTGCAAAAGGTACTATTCATCATCAATTTGAATTGGTTTAGGAGTTTCTCTGAAGTTGGTTTTGGGTTTATGGGTTTCTATCAAATTAGTTTATGGATTTCTTCGAAATTGGTTTAGGTTTAGGGGTATCTCTGAAATTGGTTTAGAGTTTAGGGGTTTCTTTGAAATTGTTTGATTATGATGATTCCTTGTTTGAAACATTGAATGGGTTTGTTTTTTGTGGATTGATTCTTCCGTTTGATTTGGGATTCTGTTGTTTTGCTGTTGTTATTGATGTTTTAGTGCTGTTTTTTGCTATCGTATTGCCAATTTAGTGGTTTTGCATTGGCATTTTAGTACTGTTGTATTGCTAGTTTATTATGGTTTTAATGGTTTTGGGGATTTATGCAATTGAAGTCTGTGTTTCCTATTTGTTTTTTTTTTTTCATCCAAAGAAGGGAAATTATATGTGTCATTTATAGTCTCTATATTACCTAATTTGTGGCATCCAATGCTTAGAAATTCCAGTAGGTCATTCTTCAAGATATTGAAATATATTAGAATGACAACATATACATCTGTGTATATATGTTTATTGTGAAATTACATATGGAGTAGAAAGCCATTATTTGGATCTGTAAAAGTGGTATAAAAGCAAGTATCAAAACATTGAGGGAAGTGGAATTTGACAGGGGCCTCAACGTTTGCACTTCATATTATGCTTATAGTATTTATGTTCCTTGCATATGAGCATGGGCCTAATGGGCAACCCATGTAAAACATCTTGTCTTCTGTCTTCTGTCTCTTCTCTCCCCTCTTTCCGGGTTTATTATGTTATTCAAATGGGAACAGATTGGTGGGAAAGCAAATGTGATATTCATGGCCAAATTATGGGAAACTTGGCCAACAAGTTGAACAAAGTATGACAGGACCCGACCCAAATTCCACTTTGGAATCCGAGTCGAACCTTATGTGTGTTCGACACCTGGCAGATGCCGGGCACAAATGACCTAATTGCCCTTCTAGTCAAAATTTTAATAAAACTTTAGTTTGACTTCTGCCGAAAATTCAGCAGAGTCTCCCCTGTAATTAGACCAATCCCAAAATTACACATGTCAGATAAACATAAGAATATACACCAACTGCCAGCGTGCAAATATTTACATTCTAACAATTAAAGATACATTCTAGGGCAATATCAGAACTCTACACAAAAGATTACAAGTATAAAAATAGTTATTCAAGATCCTACGTTGTCAAGGGATGTGGCGGAAGATAGACCCGGCCTGGTGATGGCGCACTAACGCACGACTACTGCATGGGGGCGCAAAACATTAAAAAGGTGAGTGGACCAAAAACAAAGTTTAGAAAATAACATATGAACATACTAACCCCTCTGTAAAAACAGTTATAAAACTAAATTATTTTCTTATTTATACTTGTACTGAAATCAATGCAATCGTATATATATATATATATATATAATCAATCACACACTTGATCAAACACTAATTCTTTGAAAGCATTGAAATCAACTTAAATCTACCACCTAGGTGTACCCATTTATAATTCCGTCAATTCCATCCTCGCGCCACCGGAGTGACACGTCCTAGCAGACCTCGGGAAACACAAAGTAACCCAAGCCGCAATCCTCGCAGGATTCAGGGGACATGTAGTCGACCTGAATTGCGTACTTTGCTCCCATGGTCCGGGTACCTCTAGGACTCGCGGAGCGTAAGTCAAGCATGCTGACATATCCGAAGGCAACAATTAAATCCGTAGGCAACACATATAAACCGAAAGCAACCTTTATTATTCTTGGGTACCTATGGTGGTTTCTAAGAAAATATAATTCCAGAAAAGTAAATGAGAAATGAAATGAATTCTTATTTATCGCTAAACTCTACTGCCATTTTATCTGTTAATTATCTAAAATTTTGGTATGCCATAATCTCTAGGCACTCTCAACTCAGCAGCATATAAAATAAAACATATAAAAGCGATAAATCATGCTATTGAAACTCTGATCAATGAATAAACTTATTCAAGATCATTTACAAAACAAAAAGTCCACTCACATATGCTCTGAGCTAGCTGGACCCTTTGAAGGTCCCTCCTGCGAGTCACCTGGTGCCTGGGTGCCTGAATAACCATCATAATATTTTATTAATAACTCTGCTCAATAGTATAATATTAAATTAAAACCTTGACCCCCGATCCTAAAAGTGCGTGCGTCACTTTAAAGATCATTCATATGCGCACATTAGCTTTTCTCTCAATGGGCATGACTTACAAGTAACTCGGGACTCAAAAGCGATAAAGTCCCCAAAAAGTCAACTCGAGACCCCGTGGGATCCACAACCTCCAATTTCCGATCCGACTCTTCCTAGAGGTTCCAATATGCCTAGGACACAAGTTCTGAAAGTTTGGTCTCGATCGGACAGTCAGATTGCTCACGATCGCACGATCAGACGGACGAATGATTTTCCGTAATCCTAGCCCTAGGGTTGGCCTTTCGGAGTATCTGGGACACCGATTCACGGTCCGTCGAATCCTACACGATCCTGAAATTACCTAGATCAACATACTCCAGTTTGACTACGATCCAACAGTCTGAACATATTGAACCCGGAAATCGCACAATATGCAAGATTCGTTTGGGGTTCAAACGTTCATAATAAACTAGCAATACAACAGCTCTAAAATGCCAATACAAAACCACTAAATTGGAAATACGATAGCAAAAAACATCACTAAAACATCAATAACAACAGCAAAACAACAGAATCCTAAATCAAACGCAAGAATCAATCCACAAAGAGCAAACCCATTCAATGTTTCAAACAAGGAATCATCAGAATCAGACAATTTCAAAGAAACCCCTTAACCCTAAATCAATTTCAAAGATACCCCTAAACCCTAAACCAATTTGATAGAAACCCATAAACTCTAAACCAACTTCAGAGAAACTCCTAAACCAATTCAAATTGACGATGAACAGTACCTTTTGCAGGTGAATGATGGAAGAGGAAGACCACTGCATCAGAGAGAGAGAGAGAGAGAGAGAGAGAGAGAGAGCTACACGAGAGAGAGCTGCGCAAGAAAGGCCAAGAGCTTCTCGCGATGGTGAAAGAGAGAAGAGAGAGTGAGAGCTTACAGAAGAGAGAGTGAAAGCTTGGATTTCCCATGAGAAATAGAGGTTCAAAGTAAGGGGATTTCCCATTAGAGAGAGAAAGCTTGAATTTTTTTTGGGTAGTAATTTTTGTTCGTAATTAAATTTGCTTTATTTAAGTTTTAAGGTTGTAAGTTTTATATTAATGCTTGATATTTGTTGTTTTGTAAAAAAGTTGTATTAACGCTTGATGGACTTCATTCAATTTGCAATGTGCGGATATGAATTGGGCCAATAGTGAATAATTAGTTCCAAAAGTTTTTAAATTTCAATTGGGCTGAAACTTCAAAAAAATTCAATTGAGCTGAAGAGTTGGCCCAAATCGTAAAAATCGGGACCGAATCGGATCTAAACCGGTCTGAGTTGGTCTGATTTTCTCAAACATTTTAGTAAAAATCCAAACCGAACCGGACCAGTGAACAGTACCGATTTCAACTTCGGGTTGTTGTAAGAACCGGTCCAAACCGAACTGTGC